AAAAAAAAAAAAAAAAAAGAAAGAGCTAAAGGAATTTAAATAACAAATTTTAACCTCAAAGCTTTCCAGGAACCCATGAAAGTCAAGGGTCCCAGGAATATTTTTTTTGTTTCTATCTGGACATCTAAGACCTTGCCTTCTTTTTGAACTAAGATATTATAGAAGGCCTCTGTGCAGGGTGATAAGAGAATGAATTTCAGGACCTTTAGGACTGCTGGCCCATCACTGACCTCTCTATGTTGAGTGCTGGGTGTCTTCTAACACAGTCAGTCCCCACACTATTGCTCTCACCTTTAACCACTGTCATGTTAGTGGGCCAAAGCCTCTAAAACTGCCAAAGGTTGCTGGGATGGACATTTATTTGTTTGTGTTCCTTTTTTTTTTTTTTTGAGACAGAGCCTCAAGCTGTCACCCTGGGTAGAGTGCTATGACATCACAACTCACAGCAACCTCCAACTCCAGGGCTCAAGCCATTCTCCTGCCTCCACCTCCCAAGTAGCTGGGACTATAGGGGCCCACCACAACACCTGGCTATTCTTTGGTTGCAGCTGTCGTTGTTTGGAGGGCCCAGCCACAGGCGCCAAGCCATTCCTCTCATTTTTTATCTAAAGATAAATAAGTTTAAGGATTAGGGGAACTTTTTGATCTCTGGACAACAGAAAAGTGAGGCTCTTTTGACCAGTTATTTCTATAATGCTCAGGCATGTCTCCTCCAGTGTGAGAGCTAGGGAATGTGGAAAAAAGTGTGTTACAGGTGGCTTCAGAGGACCAGTTTTTCAGCTTTCCAAATTGGCCTTATTAGCTTAATGCAGTTCAGAAGGCATTTAGGAGTAAATTTCTTTATTTTTTTTGCAGTTTTTGGCCAGGGCTAGGCTTGAACCTCTGGTATATGGGGCCGGCGCCCTACTTTGAGACACAGGTGCCACCCAGGAATAAATTTCTTTCTTTTTTTCTTTTGTGCTGTGGCATCACAGCTCACAGCAACCTCTAACTCCTGCCTCAGGCGAGTCTCCTGCCTCAGCCTCCCAAGTAGCTGGGACCACAGGCGTCTGCCACAATGCCTGACTATTTTTTAGTTGCAGCCATCATTGTTGTTTGGTGGCCCATGCTGGATTTGAACCCGCCACCTTAGGTGTATGTGACTGGTGCCTTAGCCACTTGAGCCACAGACACTGAGCCAGCATGCATTTATTTAAATTTGATTTTTTTTTTTGAGACAGAGTCTCACTGTATTGCCCTCAGTAGAGTGCCATGGTGTCACAGCTCACAGCAACCTCAAACTCTTGGGCTTAAGTGATTCTCTTACCTCAGCTTCCCAAGTAGCTGGGACTACAGGCACTTGCCACAACACCCGGCTATTTTTGGTTGCAGTTGTCATTGTTGTTTAGCCAGCCAGGGCCAGGTTCGAACCTGCCACCCTGGGTATATGTGGCTGGTGCCATAACCACTGTGCTATAGGTGCCAAGCCTAAATTTGAATTTAGTTTTTGTTTGTTTGTTTGTTTGTTGCAGTTTTTGGCCAGGGGTGGGTTTGAACCCGCCACCTCTGGCATATGGAATCAGTGCCCTACTCCTTTGAACGACAGGTACCATCCTGAATTTAGTTTTAATAGCTGATACATTCATACAGTTTGGAATTCAAAAGCATACACAGTCAACAGTGTTCTTTCTGGTTACACACACATATAATATAGCAACTTCTTAAAATTAACAATATGTCTTTAAGATTTTTCCATATACATATATAAAGAGCTTTCTTTTTGTTTTATTTTTAAGACTGTTTTTCATTGTTTAGTTTTTTTGACATAGATAGATAGATAGAATTATTTTTAGAGACAGGGGCTTACTCTGTCTCCCAGGCTGGTGTGCATTGACATCATAGTTGACTATAACTTCGAACTCCTAGGCTCAATTGATCCTCCCACCTCAGCCCACTGAATACCTGGGACTTCAGGTGTGTATCCACCATACCTGGCTAATTTCCAAAAATTTTTATGGTGGCAGGGTCTTGGTATGTTGCTCAGCTGGTCTTCAACTCCTGACCTTAAGCAATCCTCCTGCCTTGGCCTCCAAAGTGGTGGAATTACAGGCATGAACCACTGTGGCTGGACTAAATATATTTAACCAGTCTCCTATTGATAGACATTTACATTTTCCTGGTCTTTTACTGTTATGAACCCATAGTCTCTGTTATGATTGAGACTCATAGCAGTGCTGAAAGGATGTCATTGGCTAGGGCAGAAGGGCTGGGATCTAGTATAGCAGTGAAGGGGCTGTCTGTGCTGGTGTCATGGGTACTCAGGCATCTGACAGGAAGAAAGCAAAAGATATGGCCGAGTGCTGATGGGTCTCACATGTCATAGTGGAAGCTTATGGACTTTCTTTCATGATTGCCTCTATTTTTGCACTAAAATAGAAAATTAAGCCAGCTGCTGAAATTTTGAAAGTAAAGATTGTTTTGGATGGTTGAAGTGACAAAAGAGAAGTATTGTCTGGAAAAGTGGGAAACCTAGTGGGCTAGGGAGCTATAGTTGCCGAGCACTCAAGATCAGAGATCACAAAATGAAAAGGAGCTCAGTCAGAGTGATTGTGTGTTTCTCCAGCTGTGTTCATTCAGCTGCATGTGTACTGGCTTAATTGGAGCCAGTGTTGGGGGTTAGCCAAATAAGTCAGTTTTGTTCCTCTTTCCACATAAAGTGGCTTAATTGGGGGCGGCGCCAGTCCCATATGCCGGAGGTGGCGGGTTCAAACCCAGCCCCGGCCAATAAACTGCAAAAAAAAAAAAAAAAAGTGGCTTAATTAAGATTTAGTTGCTGGTGGTCACAAACAGTGAAATCTCTTAGGAAGAGTGAAATATTACAGACTTAGACCAGAGACACTGGAGACTTGATGACAGATAAATTCTTGATCCTGCTGTGCTGAAAGGAACTCTTGTGATTTTCAGATTTCTGACTACATGATGCTGCCCGACACAGCCACCCTATCAGAGCGACTTCGAGTGTGTCTACAGGAGGGTGATGAGAACCCTCGGGACTTTACTACCCTCTTCGACCTGTCCATTTACCAACTGGATACCACCTCCCTCCCTAAGGTCATCAAGTCAGTACCTGTGGCTCTCTGAGCTGCATTGTACTCCATTCAAAGTGTTGGTTTGAAAACATGAGCTGAGGGTGGGAGTTAGGGTCATCCCAAATGTGGCATGCAAAATGTGTTCTCAGGTCTATGGTGAGGTCAACAAAGGAGCTGGGGTGGATGCAGGATTGGTGCAAAAGAACTGTCAGCAGTGATTAGCCCCTGTCTGTGCCAGGCTCTATACCAGGCATTTAGGGTGAACTTTATTCTGTTTTATCTAAGACTTTTCTTAGTTGTAGCACAGAGAGTCCTCTAAGTTGTAGCAGCCCACTCAGTAAATGGAGATGGTGGTCACTATTATTTGATCTGGGTGACTGACAGTGCTATTTATTAACTGACACTAAGAATACAGGAAGGGGACTTGCTGCCTGTAACACAGTGGTTATGGCACCGGCCATATACACCCAGGCTGGTGGGTTCAAACCCAGGCCGGGCCAGCAAAACAACATATGACAGCTGCAACATAAAAATAGCCAGGTGTTATGATGGGCACCTGTAGTCTCAGCTACTTGGGAGGCTGAGGCAAGAGAGTTGCTTAAGCTCGAGAATTTGAGGTTGCTGTGAGCTATGACACTATGGAACTGTATCAAGGGTGACATAGTGAGGCTCTGTCTCAAAAAGAATGTAGGAAGGGGATAAATGGGTTCTGTTCTGAGCACTCTCAGTCTAAAGTGGCTGAGAGGTTTCCCTGTGAGAAAGTACAGGTGGGGCTGGGCACAGTGGCTCACGGCTGTAATCCCAGCACTTTGGGAGGCTGAGGCAGGTGGATTACCTGAGCTTGAGTTTGAGATCAGCCTGAGCCAGCAGAGCAAGACCCCGTCTCTAAAACTAGCCAGGTGGTGCTGCCTGTAGCTTACTCAGTAGGGCAACAGCCACATAAACTGAGGCTGGCAGGTTCGAACCAGCCTTGGCCAGCTAAACAATGACAACTGCAACAAAAACTAGCCATGCGTTGTGGCGGGTACCTGTAGTCCCAGCTACTTGGGAGGCAAAAGAATCACTTAAGCCCAAGAGTTGGACGGTTGCTGTGAGCTGTGACACCATAGCACTCTTCTGAGGGTGACATAGTAAGACTCTTGTTTCAATAAATAAATAAATAGGCTTGGCGCCTGTGGCTCAAGTGGCTAAGGCGCCAGCCACGTACACCCAAGGTGGCGGGTTCGAATTCAGCCTGGCCCGCCAAACAACAATGACGGCTGCAACCAAAAAATAGCCGGGTGTTGTGGCTGGCGCCTGTGGTCCCAGCTACTTGGGAGGCAGAGGCAGAAGACTCGCTTGAGCCCAGGAGTTGGAGGTTGCTGTGAGCTGAGATACCATGACACTCTACCCAGGGGGACAGCTTGAGGCTCCTGTCTCAAAAAAAATAAATAAATAAAAAATAAATAAATAAATAAATAAATGACAAAACTAGTTGGGTGTTGTGGCGGGTGCCTATAGTCTCAGCTACTTGGGAGGCTGAAGCAATAGGATTACTTGAGCCCAAGATCTTGATGGTACTGTGAACTATGATGCCATAGCATTCTACCAAGGATGATAAATGAGACTCTGTTTCAAAAAAAAGAAAAAAAGAAATACAGGTGGAACTACTAGTTTAGGACTAGCAGGCACTTCACCTTGTTATTTCACTTAATATTTTGAGCAGTCCTCTGAGTTACTGGCCTCATTTTCACATGAATAAACTGAGGTTTAAAGAAGGGAAGGTATTTCCCAAGATGGGATCATGGATTTAAACCCAAGTCTCAGTGACTTTAAAGTCAGTGCTTTCACCTGCTTTGCTGTTGTTTTCCACCCCTAATGACAAGTACAGGAAGTAGCATTTTTGAGTATCTTTGGCCTGGCATAGGATCCATATCTGGATAAATCAAAAGCTGAGAGTACAGCTGCAGATAATTGTCTTCCTACCCCTGTACTTATGTTCAGGTTCAACAAATCCTTACTGAAATCCTACCGTACCAGGCACTATGCCTAAGGTTTGTGGTTTTATGGAAGAGACAAGACAAGACAGACTTTATGTGAAGTCTAAACTAGAGGTATGGGTACAAAGAAGAAGAGTATTTGGTATTTCCTGGAGTGAGCAGGAAGGTATTTGAGAAGGAGGTGCTCTTTTAGCTGCACGTGTGCATTTCAACAAACATTTCTTCGTCTTTTTTTTTTTTTCTTTGAGACATAGTCTCACCATGTTACCCTCAGTAGAGTGCTCAAACTCTTGGGCTTCAGCCATTCTCTTGCTTCAGCCTCCCAAGTAGCTGGGACTATCGGTACCCGCCACAAAGCCCAAATATTTTTTTTGTTTTTTAAGGGAATCACACCCTTTATTTATTTGCAGTTTTTTTTTGACCAGGGCTGGGTTTGAACCCATCACCTCCAGCATATGGGGCTGGCACCCTATTCCTTTGAGCCACAGGCGCCGCCCAAAGCCCAACTATTTTTGGTTGCAGTTGTCATTGTTTAGCTGGCCTGGGCTGGTTTCGAACCTGCCAACCTTGGTGTATGTGGCTGGTTCCGTAACCACTGTGCTATGGGCACCAAGCCTCAACAAACATTTCTTAGAGGTCTTATGTCTGTAGGGCTTGTTCGGCAAGAGAGCAGCCTGAAGCTCAGGGCCAGTGCCAGTTCTATGGATGGGACACTAGTAAAGTCCTCTAGAGGAGGGACTTGCTTGAATGTTAGTTTTGCACATGGTTTAATGATGATGATCCCAGTGCATACATTTATTTATACTTTATTTCTATTATTTCACTGCAATCATATAATGAAATAATTATACAACTCATCCTAATGCAGATGCAGCTTAATTGTCACTTGCTACTCAGTGACAGGGTTTAGATATGAATCAGCAAGCAATTGATGGATTAAGGTCTCTGTGCAGTCAGCCCTCTCTGCTAATGATGATCTACATTTGTAGCCACCCCCCAGCACTAGCGTCACTGCCTCAGCACCACCTCAAATCATCAGGCATTAGATGCTTAGAGGGAGCCGCAGCCTACATCCCTCATATGCACAGTTTACAGGGAATGGGAACAGCCTTGGCTTCCTTATGCCCTAGCTTTGCCCCAACCCCTGGAAGGGACTTTAGAAGAGGCAGCCCACCTGGAGGATGCACCTTGATCCCATTTCAGGCTTCCTGGGAATAAAGGAGTGTTCTCTACAAAGGGGTGAGAGGCTCTATTTTTCTTCTTAATACTTATCAATACTTGGGATCTTAGTGGGGTTTTCCTCTAGTATTTGTCTCTCTTCCTCCATAATGTAAGTTCCATAAGGGCCTGCCATGATCCCCTTTTCCATTATTACTATACTCCTGGTATATAAAATTGCTTGGAACATAGTGGATATTCAGTAAACATTAGTTGAGTGAGCCACAAAAGTGCATATTGTACAGATTCATTCATTTGGCAGCAGCAGACTTCAGATTTGATTCCTACCTCTTTTTTTGAGACAGAGTCTTTGTTGCCCTCGGTAGGTTGCTGCGGTGTCATTGCTCACAACAAACTCAAATTCTTGGGCTCAAGCAGTCCTTTTGCCTCAGCCTCCCAAGTGGCTGGGATTATAGGTGCTTACCACAATGCCCAGCTATTTTTTTGGAGATGGGGTCTCACTCTTGCTCAGGCTGTTCTATAACTTGTAAGCTCAAGCGATCCACCGGCCTTGGCCTCCTACAGTGCTGGAATTATAGGTGTGAGCTTCTGCACCTGGCCTTGATTCCAATCTGGTTTTTTTTTGAGACAGAGTTTCACTTTATTGCCCTCGGTAGAGTACTATGGTGTCACAGCTCACAGCAACCTCAAACTTTTGGGCTTAAGCAATTTTCTTACCTCAGCATCTAGAGGAGCTAGGACTACAGGCATCTGCCACAACACCCACTACTTTTTTTTTTTTTTTTTTTTTTTTTAATAGAGATGGGGTCTTGCTTTTACTCAGGCTAGTCTCAAACTCCTAAGCTCAGGTGATCCACCTGCCTTGGCCTCCCAAGTGCTGGGATTATAGGCATGAGCCACTGTGTCCTGCTGACTCCTACCTCTTGATGGGGAAAACAAGGATATACAGGGCTGGGTGTGGTGGTTCACGCCTGTAATCCTAGCACTCTGGGATTCAGAGTATAATCCCAGCACTCAGATAGGTTCAAGACCAGCCTGAGCCAGGGCAAGACCTCATCCCTAAAAAATACCTGGGCGTTGTGGGGGGGTGCCTGTAGTCGCATCTCCTTAGGAGGCTGAGGCAAGAGAATCACTTGTGCCCAAGAGTTGGAGGTTGCTGTGAGCTATGACGCCATGGCACCCTACCAAGGGTGACAAAGTGAGACTAAAAAAAAAAAAAATAATAAGGATGCACAATGAGTTAAAAGATTCAGAGTATCCTTTTGCCAAAAACAAAAAGACAGGTGGCACTTGAGGCTCATTGAGTAGGGCGCTGGCCCCATATACTGAGGGTGGCGGGTTCAAACCCAGCCCCGGTCAAACTGCAATAACAACAACAGAAAAAATAGCCCAGCGTTGTGGTTGGTGGCTGTAGTCCCAGCTACTCAGAAGGCTGAAGCAAGAGAATCACCTAAGCCTGGGAGTTGGAGGTTGCTGTGAGCTGTGATGTCACAGTACTCTACTGAGGACGATAAAGTGAGACTTGGTCTCTACAAAATAAGAAAACAAACAAACAAACCAAAAACAAAAAGCTTATTTAAGCCAGGCACAGTGGCTCATCCTCTAATCCCAGCACTTTGGGAAGTCAAGGAGAGGATCGCTTGATGCCAGGAGTTTAAAACCAGCCTGAGTAACATAGTTAGACCTCATCTTTACAAAAAGTAGAAAAATTAGCTGTGTGTAGTAGCTCACACCTGTAGTCCCAGGTACTTGCGAATTAAGATGGGAGGATCCCTTGAGCCCAGGAGTTTGAAGTTGCAGTGAGCTATGATGAGCCCAGACAACAGAATGGGACCCTGTCTCAAAAAAAAAAAAAAAAAAAAGAATAAAAAACCCTATTTAGGAGAAGCCTAATACAATTAGACTGAAATTTTTCTCTCAGTTCTCAATGAATAATACTGTATGATACAATAGAGACAATTCCTGGAAGAATCATTACATTAGATATAACAATAATACATTTTGCCTATTTTTCTAAAAAAGTACTGAACCACCATAATTGATGGAGAGCAGAACAGTGGGGTCAGTTAGACATGCTTTGCCAGTTTCTTATCTCGAGTCTTGCTTTTTTGTCTTACTAACACAGGGCACACGAGCAGCTAAATGTGAAACATGAACCACTCCAGCTTATCCAACCTCAGTTTGAGACACCGCTGCCAGCCCTTCAGCCTGCGGTAAGTAGGTGCATTTGGGGGGATCTGCTGTAGAACTCCGCTGTTGGTCCTTATGCTACCAGCTGGGCCCTCACTGTGGAACCTTCCGTGTGCTGTGTGTGGCACTACTCATGGATTCGCAGTGTTCCACCTTCAAACATACTCAGGAACCATACCCGTTAGTATTCTATAGAAATTTCCATGTGGTATTGTTCCCAACTTAGGAATCAAAGCTGTGGACTTTCCTGGCTATTAAACACTTCCCATCTTGTAGAGTCAGAGTGCATATATGAGAATGCCTGGATCAAAAGGAAGAAAAGCTTTGCACTGACTTTCCAGGCATTGAGCACTGTTTCGTGGCATAATTCTAAAGCCCAGGGGATAGTCATGTGAAAAGAAAAGTTATTTTTCAACATTTTAGTCCAGCTTTTTTTCCATAGTGACAGGGTCTCACTATGTTGCCTGGCTGATTTAGAACTCTTGGTATCAAGTACTCTTCCCTCCTTGGCCTCCCAAAGTGCAGGGATTACAGGCATAAGCCATCACACCTGGCTTTGGTCCAGCATTAACTCAACTTGCCTTTAAAATTGTCCTGTCGGGGCTCAGCGCCTGTGGCTCAAGTGGCTAAGGCACCAGCCATATACACCTAAGGTGGCGGGTTCAAATCCATCCTGGGCCCACCAAACAACAATGATGGCAGCAACCAAAGAATAGCTAGGAGTTGTGGCAGGCTACTTGGGAGGCTGAGGCAGGAGACTTGCTTGAGCCCAGGAGTTGGAGGTTGCTGTGAGCTGGGATGCCATGGCACTCTACCCAGGAGGACAGCTTGAGGCTCTGTCTCAAAAACAAAAAAAAAATTGTCCTGTTGGGTGGCACCTGTGGCTCAGTGAGTAGGGCGCTAGCCCTATATACCAAGGGTGGTGGGTTTGAACCCAGCCCTAGCCAAACTGCAACAACAACAACAAAGATAGCTGGGCATTGTGGCGGGTGCCTGTAGTCCCAGCTACTTGGGAGGCTGAGGCAAGAGAATCACCTAAGCCCAAGAGCTGGAGGTTGCTGTGAGCTGTGACTCCATGGCTCTCTATTGAGGGTGACAAAGTGGTCTCAAAAATAAAAATAAGTAAAATTGTCCTGTCTAACCACATTTTGGATTGTTACAAGCCAGTTGGCTTGATCTTGGTAGCTTGAAATTGCCCATGATGAGAGGTAGTAGTTAAACATCTAGCATACCATTAGTTCATTTCTATGAATTCTGACTCCAAGTTGAGCACTTTCTATACTAATCCACATCTGCTTCCCCAAATAATTTCTGTCCCTAAAGAACTCATGATTAAATACGAAACAAGGTCAGGGTTTGGCACCTGTGGCTCAAGTGGCTAAGGCTCCAGCCACATACACCTGAGCTGGCGGGTTCGAATCCAGCCTGGGCCTGCCAAACAACGATGGCTGCAACCAAAAAGTAGCAGGGTGTTGTGGTAGGTCCCTGGAGGTTGCTGTGAGCTGTGATGCCACAGCACTCTACCCAGGCGACAGCTTGAGGCTCTGTCTCAAAAAAAAAAAAAAAGAAAGAAAGAAAGAAAGAAAGCCAGGCACAGTGGCTCACACATATAATTCTAGCATTTTGGAGCCTGAGGCATGAGGTTTTTGACCTCAGGAGTTTGAGGTCAGTCTGAGCTATATAGTGAAACCCAATCTCTACAAAAAACTTAAAAATCAGCCAGGCATGGTAGCACACATGTAGTCCTCGCTGCTTGGGAGGCTGAGGTAGAAGGATCGTTTGTGCCTAGGAGTTCAAGGTTACAGTGAGCTATGATTACACTACTGCACTCCAGCCTAGGTGACAGAGAACAACCCTGTCTCAAAAATAAATGAATGATTGAAAAATAAGTTCTGTAATCAAATATACAACACAAATCTATGCCCCCAGCTTTTGTATCATTGTGCTGAGTTAAATGGCTCTGGTTTGGTTGGTTTCATGGAATGGTTAGAGTTGGTTCCATTTGGTTGCTTATACTGGGCTAGTAGTCTTCCTTGATATGGGTCTCATGGATGAGGTAGAAGAGATGTGATGGGAGTTTGGGTGGTTCATCCCAGAGGAAAGGCTGATATGGCCCTTTACTGCCCTCATGACTTATCACTGTTAGATACACTCCTTCACAAAAGGCTTTATTTCCTTTTAGGTTTTTCCTCCTAGTTTCAGGGAATTACCACCTCCTCCTCTGGAGCTGTTTGACTTAGATGAGACATTCTCTTCTGAGAAGACTCGGCTTGCTCAGATTACCAATAAGTGTAAGTTTGGCCAATTTTAAAATTTTGTTTTCTGGCTTGGCTCCCATAGCACAGTGGTTACAGCACCAGCCACATACACCGAGGGTGGTTGGTTCGAACCAGGCGTGGGCTAGCTAAACAACACTGACAACTGCAACAAAAAAATAGCTGAGTGTTGTATCGGGTGCCTTTAGTCCCAGCTATTTGGGAGGCTGAGGCAAGAGAATCACTTAAGCCCAAGAGTTTGAGGTTGCTGTGAGCAGTGATGCCATGGCAGTCTATCAGGGCGACATAATGAGAAAAAAAAATTTTTTGTGTGTTTTCTCTTATGAATTTTATTTAATCATAAACTTCTGAGATTTACTATGAGAGAAAACTTAAGAGTTTGTTTAGGGAGAACAAAATGAGAACAGGAGTATAAAGTTACAATTCTTGTTTATTTCATGTAAGGGATTTTGGTTGTTTTTTTTGAGGCTAATTAGCTCAGTGAGTAAGAACATGGTAGAGCAGAACACCAAAGGTCTCAATTTTTTTTTTTTTTTGAGACAGAGCCTCAAGCTGTTGCCCTAGGTAGAGTACCTTGGCATCACAGCTCACAGCAATCTCCAACTTCTGGGCTCAAGCGATTCTCCTGCCTCTACCTCCCAAGTAGCTGGGACCACAGGTGCCCGCCACAACACCTGGCTATTTTTTGGTTGTAGCCGTTATTGTTGTTTGGTGGGCCCAGGCTGGATTCGAACCCACCAGCTCAGGTATATATGGCTGGCTCCTTAGCTGCTTGAACCACAGGCGCTGAGTCAAAGGTCTCAACTTTTATATTATAGCTCCTTAGTTCTCACCATTCTATGGTCTGAAAGACCATAGGATGAATCCTGACCCTGGCTGCTACCTAGCAAGCCTTGGTCATATGTCAGAGAGCAGTTAAATACAGAAATTGATTTAGGGAAAACAATTATAAAGATTTCTAGGGGACTCTCTGGGACAGGATTCCAGAGAGAGCCAAGTATGCCTACCTTGACATGTGGATGAGAACCTGAGGTGCCAGGTGGCACAGCTCTGTGGTGAATGATCCTCCTGACTCTTAGCCCTGTGCTGCTTCTGGCACGAACTGCCTCCAACAGACTAAATGGGCCTGTACATATACACTAAGAGGCATACAATTAACCATCCACTTTGAGGCAGTGACCCCATTCCTGGGAATCTACTCTAAGGAAATTAATGAAGGTACACAGATGACTTCTGCACTGTTTATTTAGAAATATAAGCTGGGGGCTTGGTGCCTATAATGTACCAGCTAGTGCGCCAGCCATATACACTGGAGCTGGTGGGTTTGAATCCAGCCCAGGCCTGCCAAACAACAATGACAACTATAACCAAATAGCTGGGCTATATGGCAGTTGTCTGTAGTCCCAGCTACTTGGGAGGCTGAGGCAAGAGAATCGCTTAAGGGCAGCGCCTGTGGCTCAGTGAGTAGGGCGCTGGCCCCATATACCAAGGATGGTGGGTTCAAACCTGGTCCTGGCAAAACTGCAATAAAAAATAGCCGGTATTGTGGTGGGCACCTGTGGTCCCAGCTGCCCAGGAGACTGAGGCAAGAGCATCACTTAAGCCCAAGAGCTGGAGGTTTCTGTGAGCTGTTACACTACAGCACTCTACTGAGGGTGACAAAGTAAAACTCTGTCTCTTAAAAAAAAAATGAAAGAGAATCGCTTAAGCCCAAGAGTTTGAGGTTGCTGTGAGCTATGACACCACAGCACTCTACCCAAGGCGACAGCTTGAGTCTCTGTCTCAAAAAAC